GTTCAACACATTTATTCAGTTTTAAGATTCGGCTCGTTAGATGAACAGTGCGTAGCAGAACGACTGAAAATCCAGTATACAAAGTAAAACGATACGACAGCCAGTGAAGTTGACAGTTACCAACTTAATTAAACTACTAAATTGATATAAAAAAAAGAAAATCAAATATACAGAAATAAAAAAAAAACTATATAAACTTACAGCACAGCAAGTAAAAAATTAAATTACTAAATTTAAAATTAAATTATTTGCTAGTTTCTACAGGATATTGTGGTCTTTACGTGCTATGGTTTTTAAAAGGATATTTTGATCTTTGTTTGCTCTGTTTTGTACATGCTATTGTGATCTTTTTTTTTTTTTTTGGGGGGGGGGCAGTGGGAATAGTACAAATATTAATTAGGTTGGGGGGGGGGGGGGCTGAAAACTTGATAGAAAGTGTTTTCATCGGTAACGAGTCTTTGTGCCAGTTTCAGCTCGATAGGTTGACGGGTAGTGGATCAATAAGCCACCCAGAGATTTAGCCAGTCACCCAACCAACCAGCCAGCCATATACGAATAAAAGCGACTTTAATTTGAAAGGATTTAAAAATTGTAAAAATTCCACTATCAGGGGTAGGCGACACACCGTTTAGAGCAGCGGTTCTCAACCTGTGGGGCGCGAGCCCTTTGGGGGTCGCACGAACCTTTCCCAGGGGTCGCCTAAGACCATCTGAAAACACATATGCTCTACAATTATAAAGTATCAACGCAAATATTTTTGTGGTTGGGGGTCGCCACAACATGAGGACGTGGATTAAAGGGTCGTGGCATTAGAAAGGTTGCGAACCACTGGTTTAGAGTGTTTTCAAATATAGGTTAACATTTACAACGCATCCACACTATTTGCTCCGCACCTCACCCATTCGATGTGACGTGCCATGTTGCCTGCCTATCCATTTCATCCATCTAACACAACAACGCACAGACGTTGAATTAATGCTATTCAGAAATGGTATTTGGTACGGGACAAGGTCATGCCATGGGGGAAAAAAGATTCTGAACCCTTGGACTTCCTTTATGATATGGAAGCGTCCACAACGGACTGTTGAGAGAGTTGGTCGAATTGTGCCCAATGACATGACGGAGAGGATAAAAAAATGTTCAGTCACAATGATGAAATAGTTTGGGGGTTGTTTCGAAAATTACGTCAAAAATTTGTGACACTTTGGGACAGGGGGAGGGGGGGGGGCAAATTTAATTAAAAAAAAATCTAACATTTTCTTATTTTGAAAAATCTTTATTTCAATCAATTTTTATAAAAAACCATTAATTTGATGTCGAAATTGCCTCAGGTATAATAAGTACCGTGAAAATCAGTCGCGCACACCACCTGCGCATATCGAAAAATGACGCAAAAAGTGTGGTGGCCATTTTACATTCGGCTCGGGGAGGACTTCGTTGTTTTGCGTTTTACGTCACAGTTTTCTAACAATACGACATCTTAATCCTTTATAGGAAAATTTTAAGGTTCTTTACATCTCATTTTGCAATGAAAATTGATGGAGTCTACATATCTATTTGAATATTTCCTAAACATTTCTAGCTGCTTCGGACAAATATTAATTATTGACCTCGCTATCTCAAAGAAACGTTCTTTCTCGGATATGTCTATCTATCTCGGACCTTTCAAGTTCTGCCTCGCATATGGCGGTTAATCTTACGGTCACTCTCAGATTTTTAAGTTCATTCTTAATGTCTCTCTCGGATATCATTAGATCACTCTCGGATATCATAAGATTACCCTCTGATATCATTTGACCCCCCTCGGATATCATAAGATCATCGTCGGATATTTTAACGTGAAATGTTAGCCAGGCCGTTTCAAAACTCTTGCCCTAGCGACCACCCTGACCTTTTGTGACCCTTTGCGAGGTGTGTGTGCCCATGAGGGTACCTCGCCCTTGCTGGCATCCGATCCTTATGAGTATGAGAATCTTTGTCAGTACCTGATCTCTTAATGATGGGAAACTACTTTTCACAAAGTCGATAATGATGGGGAAAGTACTTTTCACAAAGTGGATAAAGTGGATACGCAGTCCATATTAAGTGGTGTCGCGTACCGTTAGAAAGTTCAACACATTTATTCAGTTTTAAGATTCGGCTCGTTAGATGAACAGTGCGTAGCAGAACGACTGAAAATCCAGTATACAAAGTAAAACGATACGACAGCCAGTGAAGTTGACAGTTACCAACTTAATTAAACTACTAAATTGATATAAAAAAAAGAAAATCAAATATACAGAAATAAAAAAAAAACTATATAAACTTACAGCACAGCAAGTAAAAAATTAAATTACTAAATTTAAAATTAAATTATTTGCTAGTTTCTACAGGATATTGTGGTCTTTACGTGCTATGGTTTTTAAAAGGATATTTTGATCTTTGTTTGCTCTGTTTTGTACATGCTATTGTGATCTTTTTTTTTTTTTTGGGGGGGGGGCAGTAGGAATAGTACAAATATTAATTCACACACACATACAGTAAAAGATCAAGTAAATCTTGTAGGGCTCCTGCAAGTCTGGTGAATATCTGCCGGTCACTGTCGACCGTCATATTTATGGTTAGGGAGACAGAACCCTTCAGAACAGAAAGTCTAGAAAATCAATTGCCTGAGAGTATTTCTCGCTCTTTGGACTATAATTTAGACCATTCTGGAATTGTAAACAAACTGTTCCAACCAAGGGTGGCGGGGTAAAGAAATGGTAGAGTTTATTGGTGATGTCATTAACAAATCTGACGGGGAAGTAAGGTTGCACGCCACGGCTCATGGTGAAACTAGGTAAACTCACTTCACCCACTAACAAATAACAAATGTCAAATAATGGGAAACATTCGCATCCTTATACGTCATTTTGGATACGCTATAGAACAGGCCTGCACAACATACGGCCCGCGGGCCGCATGTGGCCCGCCAGCATCCACGTTGCGGCCCGCGAGGTGACGAAAAACTCGTTATTCTTATTATTTTCTCAATAGCTTTCCCCCTGACCTATATTTTTTTTGTCCCGCACACGTTTTTCATAATGCATTACGGTCCGCCTAACATTCTGAGTTGTGCAGGCCTGCTATAGAATATAACCTCAAACAAAAGTTTTACAAAATAAAATAAAGTATTGGTCAGCTTAACGGGGGTACAATAAAACTACCAGATGTAACGCAAGTATCCTTCCCTCTCGCAGATTGTATTTATCTTATCCGACAGGTGGAGAAGTTCTGTTTCAACGTGTCCCAGTGTTTAAAGGGGTCACGTGAACGAGATTTAATCCGCTTATTTATCATAGGGCAATGAGAGATTGTAAGCAGACGGAATGCTGTCGGTCTAAGACGTTTTCCTTGTAGGACAGTATTCCTGGTGGCAGTTTTCGAGGACAGTTGTGACATGTAAGGACTTGGCTTACGTTTTCAGCAGGACTATGTGAACTTATTGACGTGTATTACCGCAGGGCTATATCAATTTAAATTACTTTTGTAACAGGACTATTTGAAATGTGCATAATTGCAGTAAGTTTATTTAATTTTATTTACATGCGCTGTGTCTCTGTTTTATGAATGATATTGTGATCATTAGTTGCTATCGTTTCTACTGAATATTGTGATCTTTATTTGCCCTGGTTTGTACAGGATATTGTGATCTTTATTTGCTCTGTTTTGCAAACAGCATATTGTGATCTTTATTTGCTCTGTTTTATACTGGATATTGTGATCTTTATTTGCCCTGGTTTGTACAGGATATTGTGATCTTTATTTGCTCTGTTTTGCAAACAGGATATTGTGATCTTTATTTGCTCTGTTTTATACTGGATATTGTGATCTTTATTTGCCCTGGTTTGTACAGGATATTGTCATCTTTATTTGCTCTGTTTTGCAAACAGGATATTGTGATCTTTATTTGCTCTGTTTTATACTGGATATTGTGATCTTTATTTGCCCTGGTTTGTACAGGATATTGTGATCTTTATTTGCCCTGGTTTGTACAGGATATTGTCATCTTTATTTGCTCTGTTTTGCAAACAGGATATTGTGATCTTTATTTGCTCTGTTTTATACTGGATATTGTGATCTTTATTTGCCTTGGTTTGTACAGCATATTGTGATCTTTATTTGCTCTGTTTTGTACAAGGTATTGTGATCTTTATTTGCTCTGGTTTGTACAGCATATTGTGATCTTTATTTGCCCTGGTTTGTACAGGATATTGTGATCTTTATTTGCTCTGTTTTGCAAACAGGATATTGTGATCTTTATTTGCTCTGTTTTATACTGGATATTGTGATCTTTATTTGCCCTTGTTTGTACAGGATATTGTGATCTTTATTTGCCCTGGTTTGTACAGGATATTGTCATCTTTATTTGCTCTGTTTTGCAAACAGGATATTGTGATGTTTATTTGCTCTGTTTTGTACAAGGTATTGTGATCTTTATTTGCTCTGGTTTGTACAGGATATTGTGATCTTTATTTGCTCTGGTTTGTACAGGATATTGTGATGTTTATTTGCTCTGTTTTGTACAAGGTATTGTGATCTTTATTTGCCCTGGTTTGTACAGGATATTGTGATCTTTATTTGCCCTGGTTTGTACAGGATATTGTGATCTTTATTTGCCCTGGTTTGTACAGGATATTGTGATGTTTATTTGCCCTGGTTTGTACAGGATATTGTGATCTTTATTTGCCTTGGTTTGTACAGGATATTGTGATGTTTATTTGCCCTGGTTTGTACAGGATATTGTGATTTTTATTTGGCCGGGATTTTACAGGATATTGTGATCTTTATTTGCCCTGGTTTGTACAGGATATTGTGATCTTTATTTGCCCTGTTTTGTACAGGATATTGTGATCTTTATTTGCCCTGGTTTGTACAGGATATTGTGATGTTTATTTGCCCTGGTTTTTACATGATATTGTGATCTTTATTTGCTCTGGTTTTTACATGATATTGTGATCTTTGTTATTTTTTTTTGGCAGCAGGACTATTTAAATCAATTATAATATATGAACTCGAAGTTAATAAATTTTAATAAATAATTTCACCAAACATCTTAAGCTTGACCCTAATTAGCAAAATAGCCTCGAAGCAACTTTGGGCCAGATCTCCATGGCTGAAAACATCAACTAACTCGATTACGAATACGCGACTCCGGGAGTGCAATTTCTGCACTGGGGAATGACGTTGGGCGGTGCTTTTTATCGGTCAACTCCAACGAAGCATATCGAGTGAATATTCATGTTAGAAATTTATACATTTGGATTTTAGGGTTTCAAACTGTGTCGGGGAAGACTCCCGTCGAATACGCTCGATCCTGACTCCACGAGACAGCCACCCTCGGATATCAAAGGGCTCTGGTTGTACTGAAGGCAAGTATTCGGTACACATATGAACTAACACGCTGATCAGCTCAGAATCGCCCATTGACTGCTGATAGTAATAGAGGTCAAAGTATGGTCCACATAAACCTCCAATACAAATCTTATGGGGGCGGCATTCAGAGACTTAGCTCAAAGGTCTTTGTGGCGTCAGTCGGTTGAAAGGCCTCCCTGGAGGTAAGCGGATACAGTTTTGGCCCTGGTCAGCAGTGATTCCCAAACGATTTGAGTAGCAAGGACTGTTTTGTTCAGTTTATTTCTTTTTTTGTTTGTTTTTTTGTTATCCTTGTTGAAGGGTTTGTGACAGGGAATTATGACAGGGAATGGTGAAAAGGGAATGGTGAGTGTAAAAGGTGACAGGGAATAGTGGCAGCCTGACAGGGAATGTCGACAGGGAGTTGTGACATGGGAATTGAGACAGGGAATGGTGACAGCCTGACAGGGAGTTATTACAGGGAATTGTGACATGGAATGGTGAAAGCCTGACAGGAAATTGTGAAAGGGAATGGGGATAGGGAATTGTGGCAGCCTGACAGGGAATGGTGACAGAGAGTTGTGACAGGGAAATGTGACAGCCTGATAGGTAAAGGCGACAAGGAATAGTGACTGGGAACGGTGACAGAGTATGGCGACAGTGAACTGTGACAGGGAATGGTGACAGGGAACGGTGACAGGGAATGGTGACAGGGAATGGTGACAGGGAATTGTGGCAGTTTGGCAGGAAATGGTGACAGGGAATGGTGAGAAGGAACCGTGGCAGGGAATGTGATAAGCAGAGCCGTCCCTTGGGGCGTGCAACCCCTGCGGCTGCAAGAAGCCGCCCATTGTTGCGATGCCCAACAGTTCGAACGATCAACGTCGAGTGCCGAGGACACGCAACTGAGAAGAGGCAGTGGGCCTCCAAAAGTCACGTGATGGCTCCTGTCACAAGGACTGTTGACCGGAAACGGTGATTAGTTTTCTTTAAAAAAAAATGTTTTAGAGTTAGAGACACTATTTGTGGGCGTGTCCCTCGGTCATTGCTGGCAGCAACCGTTCCACGGACGCCATCTTGACAAGCCCACCATCATAAAGAGCGCAGTGAAATGATCTCAGTGAAATGATCTCAGTGAAATGATCTCAGTGAAATGATCTCAGTGAAATGATCTCAGTGAAATGATCTCAGTGAAATGATCTCAGTGAAATGATCTCAGTGAAATAATCTCAGTGAAATAATCTCAGTGAAATGATCGCAGTGAAATGATCTCAGTGAAATGATCTCAGTGAAATGATCGCAGTGAAATTATCTCAGTGAAATGATCTTAGTGAAATGATCTCAGTGAAATGATCTCAGTGAAATGATCTCAGTGAAATGATCTCAGTGAAATGATCTCAGTGAAATGATCTCAGTGAAATGATCGCAGTGAAATGATCTCAGTGAAATGATCTCAGTGAAATGATCTCAGTGAAATGATCTTAGTGAAATGATCTTAGTGAAATAATCTCAGTGAAATGATCTCAGTGAAATGATCTCAGTGAAATGATCGCAGTGAAATGATCGCAGTGAAATGATCTCAGTGAAATGATCTCAGTGAAATGATCTCAGTGAAATGATCTCAGTGAAATGATCTTAGTGAAATGATCTCAGTGAAATGATCTCAGTGAAATGATCTCAGTGAAATGATCTCAGTGAAATGATCTCAGTGAAATGATCTCAGTGAAATGATCTCAGTGAAATGATCTCAGTGAAATGATCTCAGTGAAATGATCTTAGTGAAATGATCTCAGTGAAATGATCTCAGTGAAATGATCTTAGTGAAACTCTCACTATCCACAACTATCCTCCCCCCCCACCCGCCAAAATTTGTTAATACTAAAAAAATAAATACAGACGTCTAGGAGAGTTACAACAGTTCAGGCCTGGCAACCACTAACATTGGAGTTGCAGGGGGCGGGTCACCACTGGCTGTTCTCACCCCCCCCCTTACATATTCAACTCGGCATTTTCAGCATATGGTGGATGTTTCGTGGGTCGGGGGGGGGGCGGATTGGCATCATAAATATGGGCCCATCCATGATGGCACTAAGTGGAAGTAACCCTTGTTACGTCACTGCTGGCAACACATCATTTCTTGAAGCAGTTCAGGACGCTGATGAAATTCATTTATTTGCTGTTGGAAAAAAAGATATAATAAATTGAAATTAAAAAAATTAATAAGAATAATTTCCTCATCCTTTAAATTTATGTATCTATAAAATTGGCATGACTCCAACATTACTAAAAAAAACCTGTTATTTAGTTTGAATTAGCAAATTTCGACCCTCCCTTGTGGTTTTAAAAGCAGCGGTTCTCAAAATGGTGTAACGGACCAGGGGAAAAAATTTGAAAAACGTAATAGTCGCTCAAAACAATGACTCATAGATGGCGTACCAGCATCAGTCGCTAACTAAACCACTCCTGCTGGTCCTTCATTGAGTAGCCTTGTGTTATGGGATATAGTTGCCGTAAGCTTACCCTTACACTCTCCATGTGTGATTACTAAATGGATATCGGATATGACCAGCACTCGACCCATTAAGCCAATGTGTCCGGCTCTGAACTACGCGACGTTACCGTGATCGACGAGTCGTTTATTGATCGATGTTTTTTTTATCATCGATTGGCAAATCGGGGAATCGCTTAAGTACTTTGTACGCTAAACGGCAGAACAACTTCTCCAGCAATACACACGTCCAAAAGCTGGTTGAGCTGAAGTAATTTATAAGTGTTCGAAGTGGTCCAACCAAATCATCGATTTTTTGGAAGCCGCCATAAGAATCAAAATTAATGTTTGACGTCACACCACCACGTGACGGCGTCTTAACGCTTTAAATTTCAGTTAGGCGTGACGGAGATGTCAATTGTGTCATTTATGTCACATGAGTTTAATGTGTATGTTTCAACATGACAAAGTGGACACATGTTCGGCTTAATTGAAAATATCAAGAGGCCTTCTTTTCATGTACACGACGTGTTTACGTCATCTGAATGAGCTCTAGCTGACCGCATTTAGGGTGTGGCTAACAAAAAATAATCTCTCTTGACCTTTTTTAATGACTAAATAAAATCTATAGTCTGTATTATTAGAAATCTGTAGATTTTGTTTCAACTATATAGTATAGTGCGTTCAAAAAGAAATTTGACGATAAATTTTATCTTGTGAAATGAAAAAAAGATTCAACAAAATTTCCTTTCGCTCAAAATTTTTGCCGATCAATTTTCCGTGGATGAAAGTTCTTTCAAACAAATTTCCGGTAACCTTAATTTAGATATAATTTTTAAAGAATTTAAATAGATTCAATTTCCGTAAAATGCCACGAGTTTCCTACGACCGGATCTAGAAATACCAAAGGCCAAGGCCATCTTGTTTATCCATTTTCGATATTATAGTAAGGGGGGTCTTCACATACTTCGTATTTTTGTTTAAATCAATGTCGATTTTTAAAGCTGAGTTGCTCATATCGACGGGTTTTGAACGTCCGACTCTAAAAAAAAAACGTAAACAAGGGGTAGTTTTTTTGTTGGTATAGAACAGTTGCTTATTTCTCCGTGACCTGTCACCGAACGTGGTGTTAACAACCATAACATTGCTAAGCTTTCATTGGATACCATGGCATATTATTTATGTTTGATGGCCGATTTATGAGGATTTTTTTTAAATTGAAAAATTGGACCCTGTACTATTATAACTGGAAGTAAACAATATAAAATCTTTTTGAATTTCCGATTCCGAAAATACGGAAACAAGTGGATATTCGGTTCACATAGATAAATGCCGCCTGTTCAAATGCTATGGCAAAAAAAAAAAAGTAACAACAACGTGTATTTAGAATGACGATGATGTCAAATGACGTTATGTGTTTCTGCCCCTCATTCTTATACCTATAAGAAAAGGAAAGAAAGAGAATGGCACACGGTCCTAAAGAGTACCTGACAGCATACTCCAAGACCAACAGATGTCGAGTCCAATTAAATTGATTATAAACAGAATTATGAAAACTGTTGGTCATGTTTTGTGGCGTCCCTCTGAGGAAGCCGCGTCTCCCCGGGGTGCCGCCTCGCACATTTTGCGCCCCACTGCATAATAACATTTTCATGCAGGGGTCCACTATGTGGCTAATCAATTGTTGTTAGAGTTTTCCTCAGTCTTAAATCGATTTTCTTGAGAACTTTGATTGATTAATTTCAGCTCATTGGTTGATACACACATCGGGCCAGCAGCGTGACCACCTGGGAGAGCCAAGCGAGCCACACGACCCAAGAAACCCAGGCGAGCCCCAGAGAGTCCCGTCAACGCCGAGCTGCAGTGTACAGAGGCACTGGTATGAGTTCCACGGGGAAGGTAGCCATCGTGACAGGGGCGGCACAAGGCCTGGGGAAGGCGTTCTGTGATATTTTGCTGAAAAATGGCGCCAAGGTAAGGAGGTGATTGTGTTTGGTTCGTTGTTCTTGAGTGCGTACGTGTTTGGTTGGTTAAACATGAGTGGGCACGTCTTTGATTTGTTGGACATGAATGCGCACGTGCTTGGTTTGTTGTACATCATGAGTGCGTACAAGATTACACAAGATACTATGCTACTTTTTTTGTACCCTTCTCATGGGGATTATTTAAGCATGCGTAACAGATTAATTGTGATATGAGCTTGGAGAAATCTATACTTTGATAGGCAATATTTTTTATGTGTATTATAACATACTTTATACTATTTTAAAGGTAACAGAAAAATTAAATGAACACAATGATTCATCCCTCCTTCTCTAATATTATTTCACAGCTAAAATTATCTTAGTGAGGTTAATCATTTTTTTTTTACTTTTTGAATGTGTGAGACTAAAATATTTGACCATTGGTATATCACAGATCTTGCCAAAACGAAATCAGGAGTTAAAAAAAGTTTTCAATTTCATTCATATATATTTATATAGTGTTGCTTTTTTTTTATCTTACGAGTGACGTTTGTTCCAGGTTGGGCTCGTAGACTTTAACAGCGAGCTGGGTCAAAAGACCTTGGCAGAGTTCGAGCAAAAATACGGCCAGAATAGAGTCATGTTCGTGAAATGTGACGTCTCTAACAGCAAACAGCTTTCAGGTAATGAGATGACATGTTGTTCTCGTCAAAATCACGCTGTTCTTTTAAGCTAAGATTGACATAAAAACACCAACAATAAGCGAACAAGAACATAAAAAAATAATAATCTGGCGTCCCTGTATTGAAGATGATCTTTGGGTCTTTCAATTCTTATCAGTGTATTAGTTTTTAACTATTTTATTTCAATAATCTTGTAGATATCAGAGGCTCTGATCAAATTGTTGTATGTTGATGCTCATAATGTGTTATAAAAATACAAAACATAATTCTAGTCTATTGATATCTACTATAGCATATAAAGGTATCCAGTGTATTGACTTATATAAACGTGAGTACACCAGATCAGTTTTGCGAAAAGCAAAAAGTACAGGTTTTGTTTGAGGGAACATTTGCCTATCACGTTTTCCCATCGCGTTTCCCATCAAATTTGCCTATCAAACTGTCCTATAACATTTTCCCATCACATTTGCCTATCAAACTGTCCTATCACATTTTCCTATCACATTTGCCTATCAAACTGTCCTATCACATTTTCCCATCACATTTGCCTATCAAACTGTCCTATCACATTTTCCCATCACATCTCCCTATCAAACTGTCCTATCACATTTTCCCATCACATTTGCCTATCAAACTGTCCTATCACATTTTCCTATCAAATTTGCCTATCAAACTGTCCTATCACATTTTCCTATCACATTTGCCTATCAAACTGTCCTATCACATTTTCCCATCACATTTGCCTATCAAACTGTCTTATCACATTTTCCATCACATTTGCCTATCAAACTGTCCGATCACATTTGCCCATCACATTTGCCGATCACATTATATTATCACGTTTGCCTATCACATTTACCTATCACATTTACTCATAATATATTTTGCCTTTCACATCCAAAAGATCTTTAACAATTCATTATAATATGCTAATTTCAAACTTTGGTGAGGTGCTTGTGAGGTGCTTGTGAGGTGCTTGTGAGGTGCTTGTGAGGTGCTTGTGAGGTGCTTGCGAGGTGCTTGTGAGGTGCTTGTGAGGTGCTTGTGAGGTGCTTGTGAGGTGCTTGCGAGGTACTTTTGAGGTGCTTGTGAGGTGGTTGTGACGTGCTTGTGAGGTGCTTGTGAGGTGCTTGTGGGTGCTTGTGGGGTGCTTGTGGGGTGCTTGTGGGGTGCTTGTGAGGTGCTTGTGAGGTGCTTGTGAGGTGCTTTTGAGGTGCTAGTGAGGTGCTTGTGAGGTGCTTGCGAGGTGCTTGCGAGGTGCTTGTGGGGTGCTTGTGGGGAGCTTGTGAGGTGCTTGTGAGGTGCTTGTGGGGTGCTTGTGAGGTGCTTGTGAGGTGCTTGTGAGGTGCTTGTGGGGTGCTTGTGAGTTGCTTGTGGGGTGCTTGTGAGGTGCTTGTGGGGTGCTTGTGGGTTGCTTGTGAGGTGCTTGTGAGGTGCTTGTGGGTTGCTTGTGAGGTGCTTGTGGGTTGCTTGTGAGGTGTTTGTGGGGTGCTTGTGGGTTGCTTGTGAGGTGTTTGTGGGTTGCTTGTGAGGTGTTTGTGGGTTGCTTGTGGGGTGCTTGTGAGGTGCTTGTGGGTTGCTTGTGAGGTGCTTGTGGGTTGCTTGTGGGTTGCTTGTGAGGTGTTTGTGGGTTGCTTGTGAGGTGTTTGTGGGTTGCTTGTGGGGTGCTTGTGAGGTGCTTGTGGGTTGCTTGTGAGGTGTTTGTGGGGTGCTTGTGGGTTGCTTGTGAGGTGCTTGTGAGGTGCTTGTGGGTTGCTTGTGAGGTGCTTGTGGGTTGCTTGTGGGTTGCTTGTGAGGTGCTTGTGGGTTGCTTGTGAGGTGTTTGTGGGTTGCTTGTGGGGTGCTTGTGAGGTGCTTGTGGGGTGCTTGTGGGTTGCTTGTGAGGTGGTTGTGAGGTGCTTGTGGGTTGCTTGTGAGGTGCTTGTGGGTTGCTTGTGAGGTGCTTGTGGGTTGCTTGTGAGGTGCTTGTGGGTTGCTTGTGGGTTGCTTGTGAGGTGTTTGTGGGTTGCTTGTGGGGTGCTTGTGAGGTGCTTGTGGGGTGCTTGTGGGGTGCTTGTGAGGTGCTTGTGGGGTGCTTGTGGGGTGCTTGTGAGGTGCTTGTGGGGTGCTTGTGGGGTGCTTGTGAGGTGCTTGTGGGGTGCTTGTGGGGTGCTTGTGAGGTGCTTGTGGGGTGCTTGTGGGGTGCTTGTGAGGTGCTTGTGGGGTGCTTGTGGGGTGCTTGTGAGGTGCTTGTGGGGTGCTTGTGGGGTGCTTGTGAGGTGCTTGTGGGGTGCTTGTGGGGTGCTTGTGAGGTGCTTGTGGGGTGCTTGTGGGGTGCTTGTGAGGTGCTTGTGGGGTGCTTGTGGGGTGCTTGTGAGGTGCTTGTGGGTTGCTTGTGAGGTGCTTGTGAGTTGCTTGTGGGTTGCTTGTGAGGTGTTTGTGGGTTGCTTGTGGGGTGCTTGTGAGGTGCTTGTGGGGTGCTTGTGGGTTGCTTGTGAGGTGCTTGTGAGGTGCTTGTGGGTTGCTTGTGAGGTGCTTGTGGGTTGCTTGTGGGGTGCTTGTGAGGTGCTTGTGGGTTGCTTGTGAGGTGTTTGTGGGTTGCTTGTGGGGTGCTTGTGAGGTGCTTGTGGGGTGCTTGTGGGTTGCTTGTGAGGTGCTTGTGAGGTGCTTGTGGGTTGCTTGTGAGGTGCTTGTGGGTTGCTTGTGAGGTGCTTGTGGGTTGCTTGTGGGTTGCTTGTGAGGTGTTTGTGGGTTGCTTGTGGGGTGCTTGTGAGGTGCTTGTGGGGTGCTTGTGGGTTGCTTTTGAGGTGCTTGTGAGGTGCTTGTGGGTTGCTTGTGAGGTGTTTGTGGGTTGCTTGTGAGGTGCTTGTGAGGTGCTTGTGAGGTGCTTGTGGGTTGCTTGTGAGGTGCTTGTGGGTTGCTTGTGAGGTGTTTGTGGGGTGCTTGTGAGGTGCTTTTGAGGTGCTTTTGAGGTGCTTGTGAGGTGTTTCTGGGTTGCTTGTGAGATGCTTGTGAGGTGCTTGTGGGTGCTTGTGAGGTGCTTGTGAGGTGTTTTTGGGTTGCTTGTGAGGTGCTTGTGGGTTGCTTGTGGGTTGCTTGTGAGGTGCTTGTGGGTTGCTTGTGAGGTGTTTGTGGGTTGCTTGTGGGTATGCTTGTGAGGTGCTTGTGGGGTGCTTGTGGGTTGCTTGTGAGGTGCTTGTGAGGTGCTTGTGGGTTGCTTGTGAGGTGCTTGTGGGTTGCTTGTGAGGTGCTTGTGGGTTGCTTGTGGGTTGCTTGTGAGGTGTTTGTGGGTTGCTTGTGGGGTGCTTGTGAGGTGCTTGTGGGGTGCTTGTGGGTTGCTTGTGAGGTGGTTGTGAGGTGCTTGTGGGTTGCTTGTGAGGTGCTTGTGGGTGCTTGTGGGGTGCTTGTGGGGTGCTTGTGATGTGCTTGTGAGGTGCTTGTGAGGTGCTTGTGAGGTGCTTGTGAGGTGCTTGTGAGGTGTTTGTGGGTTGCTTGTGAGGTGCTTGTGGGTTGCTTGGGAGGTGTTTGTGGGTTGCTTGTGAGGTGCTTGTGGGTTGCTTGTGAGGTGCTTGTGGGTTGCTTGTGAGGTGCTTGTGGGTTGCTTGTGAGGTGCTTGTGGGTTGCTTGTGAGGTGCTTGTGGGTGCTTGTGAGGTGTTTGTGGGTTGCTTGTGAGGTGCTTGTGAGGTGCTTGTGGGTTGCTTGTGAGGTGCTTTTATGATTTTCTGAATCAGTTTGACGCATGCCTGAGATTTGTTAGGCAGTAGGCACAGTCGGGTGTTTTGTGGTTTCTATTTTGGTCGGTCGTGTCTTGAGTTAGATAAAGGCAATTGTTATGTCCCACAACCAATCTCCCCGTGCTTACGTCTCCCCGACGGTAGCAAAGTGGACAAGGTGACCAGCGCCCCATAATCTTAAGAGGCCTTAGAGACCTGGCTTTAGATATTATTTTCATAGCTTCATCCCCTTTGATTTCTGCGTCTAGAAACCTCCCCAAAAGTCCCAGTCACCCCTTTTCTTCTCAAAGTTGTGTCCAATTTTGTGGAGCTTCTTAGGGAATCCGCATGACAACTTTAAATATGACGCTAAAAGCCTTATTGTAGTCATTTTATTTCATGATTGTTCCTTTTCTGTTTTCATACTTCTTGATCCGAACCACTGATTGTGACTAAGCGGTCAACAATCAAACATTGAATAGCATTTTGGCTTAGAGATTTGGTTTTAACTTCTGGGAAATCTCGTGAATAGGAAACAGGAACTTTAAACTACGGTAAATCGCAAACTGACTACATCCCACTTAAAGAGAACAGTTATTCCGAATCACGTAGATCTGTGTGTACATTTTTCAATGACATAACTGTCGTGGCTGATGAATACAGTGCAACTTCACACAAGATACATGAGCTCAATTTATAATTGAACTATGAGTAGCGATAGGTTAACTCCTAGCTTACAGCCATAATTAAGGAGGGAAGTTGTTTTATATTGACAAGTTATCTACTTTATATAAAACAAAAAATATTGAAATTAAAACAATAACTTCTTTATAAATTGATGTGATGCTTATAAATGAATGGCTTTATGACAAACGCTTTGAAATGTATTAATTTGATGCGAATAAAAGATATTTATATTGACTTGACAGAAACGTTCGAGGCAATTAAACATAAGCTGGGCGGCCTCGACATTGTAATCAACAACGCTGGTGTCGGGGGCGAGATGGAGGACACCTGGGAGAGAACTGTTGATATAAATGTGGTAAGCGTTCATGTGTACGTCCACATAATCTATCTGTACAGAAAACATGGTTTAGAGAGCACGGGCCAGTGTAACAGAGCACCATCTGTTGTAACGCGTGCTCCCACGGGCGGTGCAGTGCTATCATTTGTATCCCATAACGACCAGTACCAAGGCAAGCGTAACACCGTCTCATTCATAGTCAGAGACCCAGTCTGGAATGAACACTGTGGCCATTTGAACAAAATGATCTTATTTTTTTAAATCATTGTTTCTCAAGTCCATGTTATGACTCAAAAATCGAGATTAAAATAATGATTTTATTTCCACTTATTAACATTGATGATTTGTTTCTATGCCGTTTTTGTAAATTTCAGAAAGGGACAATAAAGGGGACGATGTTAGGGATGGAACTGATGAGGAAAGACAAGGGTGGGAATGGAGGCGTTATTGTTAATGTGGCATCTATGGCAGGTAGGGAGAAGTCATTGTTAATGTGGCATTATGGTAGGTAGGGAGAAGTCATTGTTGATGTTGCATTATGTCAGTTAGGGAGAAATCATTGTTAACGTTGCCTTATGGCAGGCAGGGACAAGTCATTGTTGCATTATGACAGGTTGGGAAAATCATTGTTAATGTTGCATCTCTGGCAGGTATTTTGTAATTATTATTAGTCAGTACTTCATATTTATGACGTAATGGGGATTCGTTATAATTTAAAAAAATTACAAAATGAAAAAGAAAGAAAGAAATAAAACAACAGCAACCAACTAAAGAAATGAATGAAAGATAAATAATAGGAAGAATGCACAAAAAGATAAAATACATATTTAAAAAAAAATATCAAGAGTTGGCTATGAGAACATATCCTCTGGTACTTTGACTACATTAATTAAGTGGACATATCCTCTGGTACTTTGACTACATTAACTAAGTGGACATATCCTCTGGTACTTTGACTACAATAACTAAGTGTACATATCCTCTGGGACTTTGACTACAGTAATTAAGTGGACATATCCTCTGGTACTTTGACTACATTAACTAAGTGGACATATCCTCTGGTACTTTGACTACAATAACTAAGTGTACATATCCTCTGGGACTTTGACTACATTAATTAAGTGGACATATCCTCTGGTACTTTGACTACATTAACTAAGTGGACATATCCTCTGGTACTTTGACTACAATAACTAAGTGTACATATCCTCTGGCACTTTGACTTCATTAACTAAGTGGACATATCCCCTGGTACTTTGACTACATTAATTAAGTGGACATATCCTCTGCTACTTTGACTACATTAACTAAGTGGACATATCCTCTGCTACTTTGACTACACTAACTAAGTGGACATATCCTCTGGTACTTTAACTACACTAACTAAGTGGACATATCCTCTGGTACTTTGACTACATTAACTAAGTGGACATATCCTCTGTCATGGCCCCTCTATTGAGACCGCCTTGTTATAGCCGCCGTGTAGTGTTCTATTCCTCGTGATGAGTATCTCTGGTACGTAAACTTGTACATGCTGCGAGAGCAAGGAAAGAGGATTATTTGGTGTACACGTGACACTAACTGAAGTTAACTCTTTACCTTTCTGAAATGTTGTTCTGGATTTTTCCAGGGATCAACCCGAACCCATGTGGCCCAGTTTATGCGGCAACAAAAAGTGCAATCATCATGTACTCACAATCATGGTCGGTAAGTACTTACACTCTTTTTTTTTTGGGGGGGGGTGGGGGAAGGGAAATGGGGTTAAGTATTCAAAACAGGACGTTTCGACTGAGAGCCTCCATCGGCAGCAAAATAACGACAACAACTAGCAAAAGTATGAGAAAGATGTAGAGCAGTGACAGGAAGTTGTCCAAAATCAAAATGTGCGTGTTGCCAAGGACGCTACATGGCAGTAAATGAAGTTAGCTGAAGTTACAAGGAAATGACGACATTTTCAGAAAACAATGAGGGGAAAAAAAAAGAGGTAAAATATGAATGGCCGCAACATTGAGGATTATTATTAAGAGAGTATTTGAATGATTCAATCTGGCCATACGGGCTGACTAACTGGTCTTCTCCCCGTTTCAGAAAAACCCGGAACTAGCTCAGAACGGCGTCCGTATCAACGTCCTTGCCCCTGCATTCGCCGACACAGCTCTGGTCAAGGCCATGGGAGATACCAACACCATGCACGCACCGGCGATCGCCCGGGTGATCATGCAGAGGGTGGGGATCATGACGTAGGTGGTTAGTGGCTGTGGGTTGGTTAATGATGGTTTGAATTCTTACTCTCGTGTTTCTGGGAACCTTTCTCCCATGACGTCAGTTCAAGATTGCATATAGATTTTGTGTACACTTAATCACAATGAGTTTATTGTCAATAGCGATAGTTTATCTTAACATTTAAATGTACATACTTGAAGGCTCACATACGGCCCGTGGGTCACATAAGGCCTGTGGGCCACACACGGCCCGAGGGTCACATACGGCCTGTGGGTCACATACGGTCCGTGGGTCACATAGGCCCGTGGGTCATATACGGTCCGTGGGTCACATATGGCCTGTGGGTCACATACGGCCTGTGGGTCACATACGGCCCGTGGGTCACATACGGTCCGTGGGTCACATACGGCCTGTGGTTCACATACGGCCTGTGGGTCACATTCCTGATGAATAAACCCCACCTCCTTCCAATTTCCAGATTTTTTAATGATTTCATTTAATTTAACGAAATAATTTTAGAGGTAATCATTGCTATTGTGAAGCAGGTGATTTCTCTGTTGACTACGCTTTCTTTGGGTAGTTCACAGGGTGTGGCCAATTGGCTTGATTGTTTTTATTTCAGGCCACCTTTAACCAAATAGTAATTGTAAATAAAGACCATCAAGAAGATGCAATAAAAGGATATAACCCGCCCCACCCCCACCTCCCCCCTCCTCCCCCACTTTATGTTGTTGCAGACCTGAGACTGTGGCAGAGGCTCTGTATGAACTGGTCGATGACCAAAACAAGACGGGCGCCATCTTGAAGATAGCACAGACCACTGGTAAAGAGTATCACACGTACTAGCGTGGGTGACGTATCGCCGACATGCACGGTGCAGTGCTACATTTGTATCCCATGAAATTGACCACAGCAGACCGGACTGGACCATATTTAAAAAAAAAAAAAAAAAAACCAGCCAATCTATTTTTTAAAAAAAATTTTTTTCCTTAACTTTATCCGGAGAGTTTAAATATGTACATTTAAATTTAATTTAAACGAATGGATGGATTTATACATTATCGTTGTGCGTGTGATTTGCTCAAAATGAAGTATTATTTGATTTTAAATGATGGTACGTTAACTCTTGTTCATCGAATGAGGTAAGACACTCCTAAATGAATTTTTAAGCAATACTTTTTTAAAGCAGGTTGTATTCGCATCTGAGAATTCGTCCTGACGATTACCTTTGTGCATTAGTTTTTATATTCGACTGACTAAGAATTTAAGTTATAATTTTGTTAAAAATGAGAAAAAGTCATTTCAAAATATAATAAATATTTATATTTTCTGCCTGATGCATATTGTGACAATTTTACTGTAAGTTATGCAAGACTTCAATCAATCGTGTATGATGTTGTAGTTACGGGTAATAAGAAATGACAGTCTGGGGCACCGTGAAAATGGGACATGTTAAAAGTAAAAGGAGACACAAACCTTGACGTCAGACACGTTCGTCCATTCTACATGGCCCGGAGAATGAAGCACAGACGTCTCACTACAACAGAAATGTGTTTTATTGTTCTGTTATTAATACGAACGTCAAGCCTCATGAGACGAGAATTTCGGACCCCCCTCCTCCCCCCCCCCCCCCCCCCCCCCGCTCCTGGTAACTGACAATGATTTATACGTGTCTCAAATTAACATGACGACACACGTTAGAATTAAGACACAAGCTGTGGCAGTGGACTAAACACAAATGGCCAGGGATTTGGGAGGGGGGGGAGTCTTTACTCTTGTCAGTTTTAGGACTGGGCATACATATGACATGAGTTCACCTGAGTGCCCCCTCATCTTCCACCGTGGTACATCAACTACCAGTGTTACTGAATGCCCCTGACTACTGGGCTTGTGATGCACTTAAGTGCCCCTCATCTTCCACCTTAGTACATCAACTACTAGTGTTACTGAATGCCCTTGACTGCTGGGCTTGTGATGCACTTAAGTGCCCCCTCATCTTCCACCTTAGTACATCAACTACTAGTGTTACTGAATGCCCTTGACTGCTGGGCTTGTGATGCACTTAAGTGCCCCTCATCTTCCACTGTAGTAAATCAACTACCAGTGTTACGGAACGCCTCCAACTGCGCTGCTTGCGGTACACGTTGCAGTAACCGAAAGATAAAGCATCTTTTATATTTAAAATAAAATGTTCGACTAGGCCTTTGCAGAATTAGGGCACCTAGACCTTTCGGGAGTATAGAGGCAACTATGCCTCTATAGTGTATCAGGGCACCTAGACCTTTAGGGAGTACAGAGGCACCTAGGCTTTTATTGCGGATAGATGGACCTAGGCCTTTATGGCGTATAGAGACACCTAGGCCTTTATGGCGTATAGAGACACCTAGGCCTTTATGGTGTATAGAAGCACCCAAGCCTTTAGGGGGGTATAGGGGCACTTAGCCTTTTTGGGAGTATAGAGGCACATTGACTTATGGCTCCAAAACATTCGAAGACTTTTGAATCTCTTCGTCATTTAACATGGACCCCCCCTCCCCCCCCACACCCTTTTCCACTTTTTTTTTTCCACAGTCAGTAAATACGAACTTACTGGACATGAAATTGATTTATAAATCTAATATTCTGTCCTTCAAAAGTGTAATTGATGTTTACATTTTTAAAGGAAAAAAAATTGCTTAAATTGTCTATAACACGTTCCCAAAGGTCGGTGGTGGTTGGAGGGGGGGGGGGCTGACCTTGAACTTAATGTTGTATCGGTTAATATAGAGTTTATATAAAATACAGCTATAATACAGCATATTTATTTTCATTACTTAATTGATTTGTTATACATTTTGCATGTGATAATTATTGTAAAGTTAGTGAACGGATGTTTGGGTTCAGCAATTAAACCGGTGGCAAACATAACCTTACATAAGATCTTTGCAACCAGGCAACGAACAAATGTGCGGTCACGCATGACGTGTTGTGTTCATTGCAGAACTTAGCAGTGCGGAAGTATTTTGTTTTTTTAGCATGTTGTAAAAAAAAAAAATGTGATACATTGGAATAAATGAAAACATGAATTTACTTTTGTTTCGTTTCATATTTTCGTTTTAAAAAAAAATACTTTTTATTAACTTCGTCTCTTTTCGTGGTTGGCTGGCTGGCTGGCAAAATCTTCGGACGGCTTATTGACCCACTTGCCGCCCACACATCAAGCTGAAACTTGGTACATAGGGACTCGACTCCGATGACAACACTTTCTTTCACATTGGCAACCCCCCAAAACCCCAACCCCCAAAACCCCAACCCCCAAAACCCCAACCCCCAAAACCCCAACCCCAAAAACCCCAACCCTAAAAAATCAGTTTTTTCCCTGTTTTCCAAGGAGAAGATGCGTGGAATATGATGGCACTAATTTCAGGAAGTAAAATCCCCGTTAACTGCACTAAATATCACAAGTGCGTTTGGTGCGTAACATTTTCTTTAGCTTTTCTGAAACAGTTGGTGAAATAAATGTGCGGTGTACAAGCGGGTGTGGCATTAGAATATTCATAGAGTTCAGGGGCGTGGAAAATGTGCGGTTGCCAGCCTTGGGGGTTGAAGGGGGGGGGGGAAGGGAGCACTATTTGGGATTCTTATAAAGTGCGTTACTTTTAGGAACGTTTTATCAATTTTTTT